TTGCTTGTAAATTTGGGTTCAATGTGAGGGGTAACTCATGAAAGGAAGGATCGTTAGATTCATTAATGGATAATTGTGTCCTACATCAGGGGCGGAGACATTAAGTGGAGTCAAATTTTAGTACAATAAAACATATATTTTAAAACAAATTACTAATGTTACATACCAGTTAAAATTATACCATACGAGTACTCAATTTTTTTAAAACGTTGCAAAATCATCATTCATTATCAATTTTATTAAATACATCTTTTTCAATGTAACTAAATGAAACTCTTGATTTTTTAAAAATAATTTGTGAATTACCATCAACTTGATTTTCTACGAGTTTCTTTTAAGAAATTTATCTTTACCATGTTATAAATAAAAATCATAGTAACTTAATTTTGTATTATAAATAAAAAATTTACCGTCCACTTGAAAAATTCTTTTTTTTTTTAACTTTGAATTTGAAGAATTGGTTTTGTCACTCTACTCAAGACAGTTCACCCTTTTTTTGGAACTTTGGATGAATTTATTCTTGAACTAACTTCCGTAAATAACTTGAAATAAATTCAAAATTGTCATGATGGTAAGAATTATGAAATTTCAATTGTTTGGGGTCGATGTATATGAGAAAAGAGAATTTGGTAAAATTTAGTGGAGTCAAATAAGATGCAAATTTAAAATTTTCTAAATTACCTAAGGCTAAAAACTAATTTTCCAAAATTAAGTGAGGTCAATTGACTCCACTGGCCTCTCGTACTCGTATGGTCCAATGGTGGTTCAATTCTTATTGGTTTCCCGTGATCCTGTTGGGTCACTTCCCTTGTATAGGTTAGAGTAACAGTAGGTGTAGATAGTGACAATAACAAAAAAAAAAAAAAAATTGACCCACTTGCTTGCACATGCTCCACCACTGTCCTACATCAAGTCAAGAAATGAACAAACACCACTCAATATGTAAATTAATAAAGGATCGACACCTAACATTTTAAGTTTTTTGATCAATGACGGGGTTTTAAACTTACATATTACACCTTCCGTGGATTCACTTGAGATTTTTCTCCCTAACAAACACTTTTAGGCACATCCCAGAGGCAGTGGGAATGGAGGCAGGGGCAGCCACAATCCCCCAACATTTGGAGATATTTTTAAATTTTAGCCACTAGGTGACTAGGAGATTATGAAAATTTTCATTAAAAGTGTTTCTTTCACTCTACGTCTACCCCTTAAAATTTTGACAAAATTTCCTTTGCTTCCTCCCCCACATAGCTTATATTGCATGAAAAATTTGAACTCTTACTATTCTTTACACATTTTTTACCTTGTTATTTGTTTTGTTGGTCTATACTAAAAACTCAACTTCTTTAACTGTTTAGTGTTATGTATTCCTTGTTAAAATTTTGGTTGAAGAAGTGTAATCTAATAGCTAAGTTGGGCATGCCTTTTAATTCACATTTTGGACAACTTTTTTATGACAATATCTCATCTATGCTAATTGCACACTATTAAATATAACCCAATATCTAATCAATGTATTCATTTAGATACCACAATTTTGTTCAATCTATACTCAATCGAGAATGCAACCCGATCAATATATTTCACAACAAGTTGCAAGATAATTAAATACAAATCAAAGGGGCATACATAAAAAAAAAGGAAAGGCTTCATTGTAGAACATGCATTAGAAAATGATGATCTCCTAATCAATAATCATCATACCAATCAACGAAACAAACTTATGATGTTTTAATAGTAATATTTGATAATAACAATGAGTCTGTTTGCATAGTCGAATTTGAATGATTTGGATAGAAATTTTGATTTCCACGATTTAAGTTATTTGACTATGGTATTGTGCCAGATTGATGTACCGAGATTGAAATCACAATTAATTGACTTTGGACAGCCTCTGGTACATTTCACAGCCACTAAATTGAGACACAGGTCCCACACTTTGACTTTTGAATTAATTGCTCGTTGTCTTCACATTGTTGAATGAGTCTGTGGCGCGAATTAAATTTGGATTTTCCTTCGGAATATCATGCCCTTGCATGATGTTGGATTTCCACATTTTAATAACAACTCACTTAGATTTTTGAAAAACTCAACCAATTTTTTTTCCTTCTTAGTCTAAATAAACCCCAAGTTGGTATTCCAGCTTGTTTGGCGACCAGTAGTAAAAACTCAATACTATGGCTTTAAATGACACGACAGTAATGCTCCGATTACAAGAAAGGCAACATTATACTACGAAGAAAGAGAAATTTATTTGGGCATTACAAATGTGGCAGTACTGCTGCAAAATCGTGGATTCTGTAGCGAATAGCAAATAATGCTTTGACTGCTTCACACACGGTGTCGTGTATTTCTATAGGCATTGAACATATGTGTCGCTATTATATCTCTCATGGCAATCCATTGATCAACAACTTCCGGTGGAGAATGCAGCGGCTATATCTCGCGATATGAAGGAATTGCATCATAAATATCTGGATCTCCCACATTCCTAGTTAGCAAAATACATATCATTCAGCTGCTGGTCCCTAATGAAATTATGCACTACACAACAAGCAATAACTACATTTATCTGCGTTGTTATCATGCAATTTGATACGGCTCTCCTTAAAATGGCAAATCTCATCTTAAGGACACCGAAACTTCGCTCTATGACATTCCGTAGTGTAGAATGCCGGTAATTAAAAAGTTCTTTGGCAGTTGCAAATCTCCCCCTCCTGCGACCACTTACATCCCCTATAAAGTGGTAAGAAATCGGACACGTTTCGATACGCGGAGTCAACCAAATAGTATTTTCCTATGACAATTCGAAAATACAATCGAATTAGTTGCATTGAATTGCTGGCTTATATACATGGAAGGATTACAAATTATACCTGGAAGAGGCATAGGGAAGTGATTTGGGCCTGTCAAAGCCCCATCCAAAACTCGGGCATTATGTGCACTTCCCTCCCAACCAGCATACATATATACAAATCGCATATCATGATCGCATACAGCTAAAACATTTTGTAATTGCACTCCGTGTCTATTAGTGTATGCCACTTGCTGTCCGCTGGGGATAGAAGTAGGTATATGTGTCCTATCAATAGCTCCGACGCAGTCCTTCAGATTCAAAATAGTAAATGGATAAGGTAATAACTAGTATATGAATGACATGTGATCTAAGTACCATTATTATGGCCTAAAAAATAATCTAATAAATATATGTGAAGTCCCATAAAACAAACAAAAAAAAGGCGATGGCAAACTTCCAAGTACAAGACAATTTGCCACTTTTAATGTCCCTGATAGGAATTAGTACGGTGATGTGTCATCTTATTCATCTGCGGGACAAGACTTGTATTTCAATTGTTAGATGAAATTTGAAAAGAAACGGATTTTGATCCCAAGGTATGATTCTAACGCAATCTATAGTATTCCAACTGTGATGCATGATGAACTGTAAAACTCACGAAATTAATTAATAAGAGTAGGGGGTTAAAATTTTAGAAAGTTATGGCAAAACAATTTTGATTTAACCGTATTTCAAACCAAGGATAAAACCTCCTGTCGTTCATAATTTTCGGATGAATTTCGTCCCGACGTCTTGGAGTATTGATGAATTGTACGAATGTGCATAGGCCCTGGATGACTTCGTGAATATTTCGATGCACTGTCTCCATCGAATAGTTAAATCGGTCAGCAATCATTTGCATTCGCATGTTGTGGCTCGTCATGGCCAATGTCATCGCCAGTGCCTCCTCTATTGTAACCCGTTTTTGATGATTTTGGGGAACAAATCCACATTCGGCCAAAAGCTGGCACAATCTCATGAAAGAATTAACAGTTAACCTTGTAGCATCCATAATTTGGGTGTGGTGACCTAACATCAATTCTTCAACCCAGTGTCGTCCTGTTAATACAGATGTCCTGCATAATACCTTCTAGATTGGACCCCCATATGGTTCTGCATTTGGCCCAAATAATAGTGTAGCGCCAGCAGTAAATAGAAGATCATCTTCGTCTGATGACGAGCTCGTTCCCTGGACATCACCAAATGCGTTCATTTGTTATTCTGCCAAAATAGATAGAATGGTGGTTTCTCGGTGGATTACTATTTAAATGCTTGAGATTCCTATATTCACATGCTATTTTTTTCTACTATCTGTATGTGTGTTTGGATAAATTTTTTGCATCCTTTTAAAGTCCATGACCCTTCGCGTACAACTTGTCCGTTACCTAGGGGATCTTGGAGGGGTTCTTGTGATTAGGTATCAAGAGTGATTACCATTATTACTAGCTCACTTGGATCGTCTTTGGATTCCAGTACGAATGAATATATACAGCTTTGCCTATACTTGTTCGCAACCCGATTCCCATTTTATTTGTATGGTTACGATAAAGTCAACTGAGAAGGCTGTATGAGAGGTCAAATCTTAGGAAAGAAAATCTGCAGCGAGATTTGTTTTATAATCTTGTGCTACTTGTCCGAACCCATTTCTTTTTAAAAAATTTATTTTGCTTACCTTGAAGCCTGATAGAGTACTCTGATGATTTTCGCTGTAGATCAATAAATTTGCAGGAGTATTTTGGTGGTGGATACTATTTGGATAAGGGAACTGCTTTGCTGTCCATTTGAGTAGAATATCTAGAAATTTTTGCATTATTGCCTTCCACTACTGCAATCATTCTACTGCCTTCCACTATTGATTATTACTTACGCGAGTACCAATTGGAAGGCATTTTTAACCTATTTGTTTAATTTTAACATTTAAGTAATGTCCTGTCCTTCATTATAATATTTTCACTTCTGCCACAACACGTTTTCATCCAATAAAAATTGTGAACTATGTGGACTAAAATAAAAGTCAGCATTAAAGTATAACATCAGTATCCTGCAACAAAATAATAATATATAACTATTATTATCAATTCCTCCATAAAGTGAATTAACAAGCTAACGCTTAAAAAAAGAGGGCTATCCAAATATCAAATAGAAGACACGTTACTATTTAAATTGCATAGGTGAAGTTATTTCAAGGAATGCGGAATAAGAAACTCAACATTTCATAATTATCCAAACAAGTTTTTTGAAGGAAATACATTTAATGACAGGCCGAAAATCCCAACTCAGCTATGCCAAAATACAAACAGCACTTTCACTCAAATATTTAAAGGCCGAGCAGTTTGTCTGCCTGTAGTTGTCATGCACAGCCACTAAAATCTGAAGTCTCACCTACCTTTCATCTGGCCCCATCTGAGAGGCAATCTCCAAAAAATTCAACCAATACTCTTGAAGATCGCGAGTGAGACTCAGGAAAATCTTCCGTCACTTGTCTTCCTGGAGTTGTAAAACAGCAGTGAGCTTCCTCCCTTTGTGCACCGATTCGAACGATTCCACGACCTGAGCTGCCATAGTCACATCAAATTTCTCTTTTTCAGATTCTCTGCGACCTTTGATCTGTAGTTTTGAATTTGCTAGGGTGGAGAGCGAGTGGGCACATTCGGCGAAAGGATTGTTTGTACTTCTACTTGACTTGCTTCCATGAGATCCAGTTGGGAGCGAAGTCGTGCCCCCTGACTGCTTGATGCTCACTTAACTCCTACACTTGGAGCTTCTTTGTTGAAGTCGACATCTTGGCCTGCGTTGTACACTTCATCACCAAATTGTGAAGAGAAAATCTGCCCACCAGTATGTCCAGCTCGCTTGCGTGGATTCAAAATTGAAGGCGGTACCGAAGAAGCTTGAGCCTGATTCCCTGTAGCGGTTTCTCCTTCTAAGACCTCAAACAGGATAGCATATTTGTCGATACATTGGAAATATCTAAAGTTCCTATAATCTTGGTTCTCCTGTTGGAAAGCGACAACAAGGAAGGTGAAATATGTCATCATTCACAATGACAAAATATTAAGTGCGAGGACAAATATAACCCAAAAGCCCACGGGGGATATTTTATGGCCAAGTGTATTCAGTTATGCACTGTATAGGCCCCGGAAGTAAAATACTTTGAACAATTCCTTCTACTTGATTTGCACATTTGCTGTTACCTTACCTTATAATATTGTAAATGGGTCATCTTTGATAACAAGAGACAGATTAGGTGCTGATGGATATTTCAAAACTTCCCTAACTGTCCAACTATAACTAATGTTCATGCTATAAGATGCTAAGGCCAAAGACAAATAAACAAGTAATGGTTCATGCAGTAGTAATTATACGTTACAGGTTAAAGAAACAGGAATATTCCACAGTACATGGTAAGACGAAATACTGCCATAGCAAGTTACATGACTGGAACTGAATTTAAGTTATTTGAGATGTTACTATTTGCAAATTGTTCCATTGAGAATCTTCAGCCAAGAAGCATCTCCTATTCTTGTTCCCAACCAATACCAGTTTCGAACGTTTGTCACAGACTCTTTAACTTGGCAAAGGCACTCCAAATCTTGTTCAAGAATTTAGAATGGTACACTGTCCAACTATGTTGCTTTCCCCAGGTCAAATTTAGGTGGGAAGCAAGTTTCATCCAATTGGCATCTGATGCAATGTTTGGATTCCACTCCCCACTCTTTTTCCATTCGACATATGTCATACAGAAGTGTATTTCCATGTTTTCATCTCAATGTGCCTTTGCAATGGTGTGGTCTCGTGGCATCTATATAAGAAACAAAAAGGACTTGCATTATTAAAATTTGGTTTATCAAAGAAGAACCAGATTACAACACTTGGGGAATAACAACCAAATAAAATCTAGTTTATCAAAGTGTTTGCACCCCATAAGCACCGAAACAGAAATATTTTTAATGACAGTAGATTCCCTTCCTTTAATGGTCAAGAGCCTTGTAGACATGAATCTAAGGAATTATAACACACATCGTCACCTTTCACATGCTATTTTTCACTGAGAAGTTGGTGTTGTGTGTGAGAAATTTCCCAGATTAGGGGTTGGATCACTATCAAGCAATCTACTTTATTGTTAGCTAGCCATCCATTCCTTAACCCAATAATAACTAATTTCTTTTATAACTTGCTGTCAATTCTTGGTGGGGTAGATCACTGGCACAAAGTATCTCTAGTTTGATGTTTTTTATTGGGACTAAGTGATAAGAATCAACAGGCCAAAAACTCAAGCCACATGTATGCTACCAAGTTTGAAATCAGGTATAGTGTCACAGTATAGAGTACAGGGGATTACACAATATTTCATTAGTTATCGGTCTATAGGCATTGAATGGCAAATCTGGTACAACAAGCAAATATAAGTAAATAGTAAATTAATTGTGGCATGAAGGAATCTTCACATTTGAGGAAGATGCATTAAAAATCAAACAACAATGGCCATTTGTATGGATATATTGGGGATTTACTCTAAAGTAGTTGACAAGGGACTGGATGTAGTCGTTCGAGTCTGTGACGGAGTGGACGGATGAAGCTTCGGAAAGACGGGGTGGAGTAGTAGGACCGGACAGTGATCTCCTCCGCTTGTTGGGTATTTACTAGTGCTCTACCTTCAACAGCAGGTCATGCTGAGCCAGACCTCAGACCAGTACCTGCGGCAAATATTTTGATTTCTAACGGCCAGCTATTTGCATTTGAGAATGCAGGTAATTTTTGAGAGACCTAATGCCTAAATCGTGGATTTGTTACTACTCTGCAGGAAATACAAATTATCCATAAAGTGGACTAGACGAAGCAGCAAGCCTATTTTATCCAAGTCAAATTCATGTACTGGATGCCAAATGCACAACTGCCAATTATAACATGCAACAATTGGATTACCATACTCATTTCTTTCAGTACATATCATGCCCTTCCTCGAACTTGCACTCCACTTTAATTGAGTTTACCAGTAGTTTATCAATTTTCTTGAAATCCCTTTTCTTTACAAATAAGAAACTCGAAACAAAGAAAATTGCATAGCGAAAGAAATAAAATAGTATATAATGAGGAAATATGGCATCACCAAAATCTTTTTTCACATACTAATGCTCAAGAATCACCAAGCAAATCTCATAATTAACCTTCTCATGCCATGATGATGAATCCAGATTGGGAACAGAAGATGGGGAATCAATCATCAAATATCAAATTTGACCATGCTATTAGGATAGAGCAAAGTTAATTAGATCCAATTAGTGGTGCATTATCATGAGCCGACAGCCAACAACCACAGCAATTATACATAGAATTTCATCATCATAGCCTATAATTTAACTGATCTAAAGTAAAGAAACAGAAGCCGTCAAAGGAAGAAAGACTTTTCATAACCTAACGATTTAATAAATACAAGAATTCCACTCATATCAGACAGCTAAGCCCAGCACGGATTTGGATCTACAAAGAACGGTTTACCAATTTGACGGCCGCAAATTAATTTCAATCATTGATTTGAGCTACCGCTAATAGTATAGGCAAAAGAATGTGCTATGGGCGGTTAAGAAAGAGGTCCGACTAACCTGAATTGCAAATTGTTTTCCAAATTCGGACAGGAAAAGATAACACCCTCTAAATTAGCTGCCAACGGTCAGTTAATAGCATTGAATTTGGCCTTAAGCAAGCTCCAAATCAGGAAATCTTATTTCAGCATGCACTGCTTCACCATTGAAACCGGCGCACTGATGGAAACCCAGATGCCAAACTGAGGCGAATCTAACTTTGACTGCTTCAGCACTTCATACTTTGGCAGGCGCACTGTTGTTGCCTCTTATCGTTCAGAGCAGAAATTGAATTTTTGTGAGGTGAATGTTTGCAGGAGGAGAACGAGGTATAAGGAGGTTGTGCATAACAAAAATGGCAAACGGTGGAATGGGTTTTCTTTTTGTGAATAATCAATACTTAGCTATGCCAATGGAAGGAAATGTGCCGACATCGCATGGGTGTCTGGCCCTGATGCCCTTGATGGGATATTATTTTCACTTTTCTGACAGTTTCACGTGATGGAGGAATTGCACCGTACTTTAAAACATTGGTGGGGTCACCCAACAAATGTTTTTCTTTGACCCACCACAAGTCTTCAAGTATGGCAAACTGAAGTGTCCAAACAAGGTTTTCAAAACTTGTTTTGCACCACTAAATTAGATAAACCAAATTTCCAGTCCAAACAAACTCAATCTTTTCTTTACTCTACTAAAAGCACGAGTTGGAGTTGCTACGGTGTGCATGGACCCGTTATCCTGTAATTTCGAGCAACTTTGAGGGCATTTTAGATGAAGCAGTGGAAAGTTTTCTGGTTTCTTATATTAGTCACTGGATCATGTAGTGCTACAATCTTGGCCATTCAATTTGCCCAATGTTTGGCCTACATTGGGAGACAGATATGAGAAAACAAACAAAAGCACTATTTCAATACTTGACCATGGCTCATCTTTTTCCTCACTTCACTATTCTGAATCTTATCTCCTCTTCCCTACCAATTAACTCACAAATTTTGCCTTTCACAAAAAAAAAAAAAAAAAATTACACTCACACGCACATACAAAAACATCTTGGGACCTTACCAATTAGGTTGAAATAATTGGGTTAGTTGAATTTCTTCTCCAAGAATCTCCAAGAAACAACTTTCTTCTTGTAGTTATTTGGAATTTTCAAATACTTAGACTAACAGCAAATTAGTATTATTAAGAAGTTTGGTGTTGTAAATTTCCATGACTAATAGTTGTAAATTTTGTTTATGTCATTTGAGCTACAACATAAATGACTGATTCCCCCTCCCTCAATTCCTATGATTTTCTTTGCGGTTTCTTGCTTTAGGATATATCCTAGCATCATGTTGATGCAATTAAGAGTTTTATGTGGTCATTATAAATAATCAATTCTTCTTAAATAATCTAAACAACGATAGCAATTTGAATGGATTTCAAATCTTTCATCAAATTCCTCAATTCGAATGAAGCTAAGAGATTAGCAGGTTACTTTTTTTGTCTTGCAAGTTTTCATACTGAAACACTAGAATTAGAAACGAATAATCAGTACCTTCGTATTTTGCATTTTTTAAAATCCTTCTGGGCACTCCATGCATTTTGCATGGCTACCAAAAACTAGTATAGAAAAATGCAGTGATATCAACAATATATAATATAAACACGTAATATGATAAATCTTCAACCCTATATAAATAATAAGTATGAATTAATTTCAGAAACATTCCCTAAGGTTTATATTAATGTCACCTAGTATTCTTGAAGTTTTAGAAATCTTACAAAGCTCCCCTTGAATGACAATTTGTATAACATTATGTCACCACTTATATGTAAAAGTAATATTAGAAAATGCATTGGAGGAGAGAGATTATATCATTTTTTTACTTTTACCATTGTTCAATTTGATTTATGAAATTTGAAATGTAAAACAAGACAAATAAGATGGAATATTAAATTTAGAATATGAGAAGGTGTAAGTGCAATAAGTAATATATTTAACCGTTTCATAACTTGCTAACACTATTATATACAAGCGCAATACAAGCGTAACTTTTACAGTTACTTTAACATTATAAAAAGACAAAAGTTTCAAGAGATTGGTGGCAACAAGAAGGAAATTAAGAGTAAAGATTATTTAGTAAAGAGACACAAAAGTTTTGCTGCAAAGAGGGAAATTAGAATGAAAATTTTAGAAAATCAATTGTGGCAAAGACGAATATTAAAAGCAAAGATTTTGCAACAAAGAGGGAGAAGAATATTGTAAATGTCATTGTTGTTATTTGTTTTTAAATATTTTAGCTTGTAGGATTTTTTTTTTTAGTCAAAATCTTTTCTCAACCTTTTGCTACTTAAAAAAAAGGGATAATTTCAGATACCTCCCCTGAGGTTTCTGACAGTTTCACTCCCCTCCCTGTGGTTTCAATAATACCACAAACCTCCCTTAAAACTAGATAGGCAATGCCAAAATAAGCCCAATTTAAAAATACAAACAATAAAAAATTAGTAGCTGGAGAGAGAAACAAGTGTATACCACAAATGCCCTCATTATCTTGCATTAATGAACTAATCTCATGTGAAGAAAAAACAGGGAATTTAAGAAGAATGAAACTTGAGGGGGTGTAAGTGAGACCAATGCATTCATTAAGGTCTGAACGTTAGTAGTGAACAAAATGGAAGGCAACGGCTCTTTCTGGCAGAGCATGTTGTTTTGTCAAGCGAGCACATAATTGAAGAACGGCCTGCATAACCAAAGCTGGTACATGCTGTTTTATCAATACATTACCACAATCTTCCATCGTCAAAAAGCCTGTAGGTTTTCCAAATGTTTTCTCAAAGATGGTGCTACTTTCTTTATCCTGCAAAAGAGGAGTGGATTTTTTCTCAGCAACATCTTCCAGAACTGGAGATGCAACATGTTCCTCTGATGAGTCAGGTATTAGTCCTGCTGCAGTCTCTTCTGTACTTTCACGAGAGATTTTGGGCCTGGATTGCAACAAATTATCTAGGATTAGAAGTAAGGCACTAATACATTTCGGGCTCAAAATCTCATTTCCTGCAGTAGTCCTTGCTTTGAAGTTCATCAAGATATCAATTGCCAATGGGACAATGCCACTCTGCACAGCAATTTGTCGAGCATTTTCAGCTCCAGATAAAATCAATGCTAAAGTATGTGAAACCATGCACAATGCACTATTATCCTCTGAGAATTCCATGGGGCATTGCTGTAGCTGCTTTACAAGATAAGGAATCACCGATCACGGTCTTCTCCTTTGTTCCTATTGCAAAGAGTCACAAGCAAATCTGTCAACTGGAAAGCCATTGAATCACTACTGTGAAACAACTTCATTGTTGCAGCAAGGATGTCATCAACAGAAGGGGTCTTAATTTGTTCCTCTTCTGCCAAAACATCCACTGATTTTTCAGTGTTATCGACTTTAGATGCTTATGAGGAATTTCCTAGAGATAAAGCAAGTGCACGAGCCAATTCATCATCCTCCAGCACAGGATCTTCAGCATGACTATTTAACCATTCCATAGCCATTTCGACACTATTAGTTTCCATTCTTCTTAATGCCTCCTCAGCTCTTGCTCTTGAGAACCCCATCTTAACAATGGTAGCAATGGTAGCTTCATCAGGTGGTGGAGCCACCAAACGTTGGTTTGTATTCCCTAACAACCCACTACGATTTTGTTTAACATCAGCAACACCAGAATATACATGAGTGATTAGTGAAATAATAGAAGTTATAAAAACTGGATTACAATTTGGAAACAAAGGGTGATTCCAGATGGGAACTATCGCATCCAGAACCTGAGACTGCATCATACGAACAAACACTTCAGGGTCCTTAGGAACAGGAAACAACCCAATAGACAGACCAACTGCAACAGGTTGCACAAGCAGCTGTGCCTGGGATGCTGAGGTTGGAGACAACAGCAAAGAAGAATTGATAAAATATTCAAGAAGGCGACAATAACTCTACAATGTATCAAGCAGCCATGAACTGTGAGACAATTTACCTTCCTCCGGTAAGACAATCATAAAAAGTTACAAGTAACTCTTGGGATCTACCTTAGCCACTCTTACTTTTCTTCCCATAAAATGGAGCACAATATCATGAACATCAGTGATAACCATCCTACAATAGACAATCAAAAGCTACTGAAGTTACTGAAGTTACAATATTAGTTATTGAAGTTACAGAAAATATTAGCTACAATATTAACCATCTTGCAACATTGGTTGCTGAAGTTACAGAGCAAGCATAAGCTTTCTAAGTACTGAGGTTTGGCATCTAACTATATCAAACAACCCCAGTCAGACGAGAAATTTAGAATCAAGTAAGCATAATTTGGTAGAGGCTTAGCAAACCAAGTCACATGACAAACCAGAAAATCATAAGCAAACATGTATCAAGCTTACACAAACAACAGCCAAATCATCACAAGCTGCCAATATCATATTGAAACAGAGTATGAAATCTTAAACACTTACCTGGTAAATTTTTCTTAATGAGCTAAGAGACTCTTCAGCTTGTTTGCCAAGACCTTTGTTTGCCAAGAGCTTTCTTAACGAGAATCAAGAGCTTTGTTTGCCAACCATCAACCTCAGTTGCTATATCTCAACAATGGCGGGAACAAAGTAAGTTTCTTGCTTCTATATGTACCGTGCCTATCAAGCTGTTATGTCAATCAGACCATGGCGCCTAAGTTTGGTGCCATTTTGCTGAAGGCCCCTTTCTATATTGCTTGTTAGGACTCTAATTTTTCGTTAATTACATTAATTGTGTTTATAACTAACTTAACTAAATTTTTCCAGATAATCACGAAATATTAGCAAACTTGTGAGGGTATTTAAGTCTTTTTGGCACCAATGACTTAAGAAATGGGACCTCACAATCTGACAAGGGAGGTTTGTGGTATTATTGAAACCACAGGGGAAGGGAGTGAAACTGTCAGAAACCTCAAGGGAGGTATCTGAAATTATCCCAAAAAAAAAATAGGAAAACATAAGATGTAACTTTGTCATTTCAATGCCTCTAATCAAGACGTCAAATCCCATCACATTAATAGGAGAGCTTAGTGAGATTTTCGGGACTTCCAGTGTGCCAGACGACATTAGGATGAACCTCGGGGCAAATTTCTGAAATTAACCCTCATAAATATCTTTACCTTTTCTTCCATTATTATCGCCAATTTAAATGACTACAGGGGCACTCCGGATAAAATACCATTGCAGCAGGAAGTAAATACTGAAATCCATTGCAGGCAGCAGGAAGATTGGTTTGGTGTTTGGATTGCCGGGGAGGGAATATGGCAGCCTGCGCAGGATTGCCAACTAACGCTACTATTGCTTCAGCAGCACCATTGCAGCAGCAAATCTCCAACTCCTCCATAAAGAAGCTACCCAATAAACCTTCCTCCCCTGTTTCTGTTTCTGTTTCTCTTTGCTCTTGCTCTTCCTCTTCTAGGTGTTGTACAACTAGGAGTTGTACCACTACCACCACTGAAGAAACTTGTTCGAACCAGAAATTTAGTTACAGCAGAGCCTCCCCATCCCTCAGATGGCCCCACCTCAAATTCCCAGAAACTCACCACCTCCACCACCATTCCTCTTTCCCCCAACCGCCCTCTCCCACTACTTCTGCTGTAAATTTGGTAGGGGAGATCAAGGGTGGTAGAGCTGAAAGTGCTGACAGAGAAGAAGAGACAATTTTGTTGAGAGGGAATGGGGAGGAGGAAGAGGAAGAAGAGGCGTTGCGTTGGCCTAGGCCTACTAGGAAAGCAGCTAAGAAAATGAACAAACTGGCGTTAAAGAGGGCTAAAGATTGCGGAAGAGGGTTCAATTCTTGACTGATAGGATTTTGGGTTTGAAGCCCGAGGAGTTTGTTGCTGACGTGCTTGATGAGAAGATGGTTCAGATGACTCCTACGGATTTTTGTTTTGTCGTCAAGTGGGTCGGGCAGACCAGTTGGCAGAGGGCACTGGAGGTCTATGAATGGCTGAATCTTCGCCATTGGTACTCCCCTAATCCCCGCATGCTTGCCACCGTGCTCGGTGTGCTTGGTAAGGCCAACCAGGAAGCGCTGGCCGTCGAGATTTTCACTCGGGCGGAGCCTGGGGTTGCTGCCACTGTCCAAGTGTATAACGCCATGATGGGTGTTCATGCCCGGAATGGGCAGTTTACTAGTGTTCGGCAGCTGCTTGACTTGATGCGCCAACGGGGCTGTGAGCCAGACCTCGTCAGTTTCAATACTCTGATCAATGCACGTTTGAAAGCTGAGCCTTTGTCGCCAAATTTGGCAATTCAACTCCTGAATGAAGTCAGGAGCTCAAAGATTCGACCTGATGTCATCACTTACAACACTCTTCTCAGTGCTTGTTCACGCGACTCCAATTTGGAGGAGGCCATGAAGGTTTTCGATGACATGGAAGTGAATAAGTGCCAGCCCGATCTTTGGACGTATAATGCCATGATTTCGGTGTTTGCCAGATGTGGACTACCTGGTGAAGCTGAACGGCTCTTCAAGGATTTGGAGTCAAAAGGGTTTTATCCTGATGTGGTCACATATAATTCTCTACTGTATGCATTTGCAAGAGAAGGTAATGTTCCGAAGGTAGACGAAATATGCAGAGAAATGGTTAAGATGGGTTTTGGAAAGGATGAGATGACTTTAAATACTATCATCAACATGTATGGGAAAAATGGTCAGGTTGGCCTCGCGTTGCAACTGTACAGAGACATGAAAACAGCAGGTCGGAATCCTGATGTAGTTACGTATACTGTTCTCATTGACTCGCTTGGAAAAGCAAATAAGATTACAGAGGCTGCACAGGTCATGTCAGAAATGCTTAATGCTGGTGTTAAGCCAACTGTCCGTACTTACAGCGCTTTAATCTGTGGCTATGCAAAAGCTGGGAAGAGAATGAATGCTGAGGAGATGTTTAATTGCATGCTTCGTTCTGGAATCAAGCCTGATAGGTTGGCTTATTCTGTCATGTTGGACATCCATTTAAGGTCTAATGAAACCAAGAAGGCAATGATGTTGTATCGGGAAATGGTTGATGATGGATTCTTGCCAGATCTTTCCCTTTACGAGGTTATGCTCCGAGTCCTTGGAAGAGAAAAAAAATCTGAAAGTATAGAGAAATTAATTAAGGATCTGGAGGAGTTACATGAACTGAGTCCACATATAATTTCCTCTATACTTACAAAGGGTGAGTGTTATGATTTTGCTGCTGAGATGTTGAGATTAGCCATTGCAAAGGGATATAGTTTGGACAATGAGAACTTGTTATCTATCTTGAGTTCTTATAGTTCATCTGGGAGGCACTTAGAGGCAATTGAATTGCTAAATTTTCTAAAAGAACATCCTTCTGGATCTGACAGATTCATATCTGAAGCCCTCGTTGTTATCTTCTGCAAGGCTAATCAAATGCATGCTGCTTTGAAGGAATACCATGAACTCCGTGAATTCAGTTTTTTTTCTGGAAGCTTTACCATGTATGATGCCCTCATCAAGTGCTGTGTGGAGAGTGAACACTTTGCTGAAGCTTCACAAATTTTCTCTGACATGAGATTTAATGCACTGGAGCCTTCTTGGGATATTTATAGAATCATGGCAACTAGTTATTGTAGACTTGGCTTCCCGGAGACTGGTCATTTTTTGGTTGATCAGGCTGAAGCAAGAGGCATTGCTGTTCATGACATATCCACTTATATTGGTCTGATTGAGGGTTATGGTAGGTTGAAGTTATTGGAAAAAGCAGAGAGCATTGTTGGAAGTCTAAAAAAACAATGTAGTGTAGTGGACCGGAAGGCTTGGAATGCATTAATACAAGCTTATGCTGCAAGTGGTTTCTATGAGAAAGCAAGAGCAGCATTCAATACAATGATGAGAGATGGTCCTTCCCCAACAGTAGAAACCATTAATGGCCTTCTGCAAGCATTGATAGTTGATGACAGATTGAACGAGCTTTATGTTGTAATACAGGAGCTGCAAGATATGGGCTTCAAAATTAGTAAAAGTTCTATTATTTTGATGCTTGATGCTTTTGCTCGAGCAGGAAACATATTTGAAGTGAAGAAGATATACCATGGAATGAAAGCTGCAGGATATTTTCCGACCATGCATCTCTACAGGGTTATGATAGAGTTGTTGTGTGGTGGAAAACAGGTAAGAGATGTTGAAGCTATGGTTTCAGAAATGCAGGAAGCGGGATTCAAGCCTGATATATCCATAAGGAATTCAATGCTGAAGTTGTACACAAAGATTGAAGATTTTAAGAAAACAGTTCAAGTATTCCAGCAAATTCAAGAAGCTGGACTGGAAGCAGATGAGGATACATACAGTACTCTGATACTAATGTACTGTAGGGATCATAGGCCAGAAGAGGGGCTTTCTTTGGTGCGTGAAATGATGCAGTTAGGTCTGGAACCAAATCTGGATACCTACAAAAGCTTGATTGCAGCGTTTTGTAAACAGCTGATGGAACAAGCTGAGGAGCTCTTTGAAAGACTCAGGTCAGGAGGGCATAAACTGAATCGTTCTTTTTATCATTTAATGATGAAGATGTACAGAAACTCTGGAAATCATTCTAAAGCTGAAAAGCTGATGGTTGTGATGAAGGAATCCGGAGTGGAACCAACCATCGCTACAATGCATTTGCTTATGACTTCTTATGGCAGCTCTGGCCAGCCGATGGAAGCTGAAAAAGTTCTTAACGATTTAAAATTAACGGGTTTAACTCTTGGTACACTGCCATATTGTTCCGTCATTGAGGCTTATCTCAAGAATGGAGATCGTGATATTGCCATTCAAAAGCTCCTGGAGATGAGAGCAGAAGGTCTGGAACCAAATCACATGATATGGACTTGCTTTATTCGAGCTGCAAGTATGTGTCACAGTACTTCTGAGGCTATAATACTATTAAATGCCATTGCTGACGCTGGGTTTGATCTCCCACTAAGGTACACCAGTTTTTATTGCTTATTCTTCTTTATATTGTTGTTGGGACAAGATGATATTGGGGTGGCTTCTTTATAGAATTTGTCCATATTAAAAAATAACAGTGGTTTATTTTTTAGGTTTCTTAGAAATAGTTCAGAGTTATTGGTATTAGAGATGGATCGCTATCTTGCAGAATTAGAGCCATTGGAAGATAATGCTGCATTTAATTTTGTAAATGCTTTGGACTATTGTGGGCTTTCGAACTTCGGGCCACTGCATCATGGATTTTCCAATTGGCAATCAAGAGAAACATTTATCCGCATGACATATTCAGGTAATGCTGATATGAGCTGTATATATACATGGTACTACGTTTTTTGAGAGCTTTCATGTTCATCTAGGTTAGAGAACGAGGAGATGTTTTTTGCCTGTGGATGAGCCTCAGTTGATATGTTCCCCAGGAAACTCAAAATCATGTAAAACTTGATAAAGTTACCGTGTTTGATCACCAGATCCCCATATATTAAGTGAATCTGTGGGTTTTCTTTCCTGTTTCTGTTGATAACTAAATGAAAACTTGTGATCCTGAAAGCAGACCTTTGTTGAGGTCCTAATCACTTTCATGGTAACAGATGAGGAGAATTACACAACCTAAAACTCCACATTCATGTTAGTGATTGGTTTGTGCTTCAAATGAAACATTAATTGGCAGTTAAGTGCTTTAGGCCCTTTATGTTCATACAGTCTTGCTCATTTGCATACATGATTCTGCAGGTGGCTGACAAGGACTGGGGGGCTGACTTTAGAAAGTTATCGGCTGGTGCTGCTCTTGTCGCTTAACATTATGGCTTGACCACATGCAGGAAAGTTTCTCTCTCGTTAATATCTACTCGGTCTTAATCGAAAAGTTTCTTTGCTTGTGTTAGATTAGCCTCTATCATTGTTACTACGTCTTTGAGTCTCATGTAGATTATAGTTCTGCAGGATGCTTCATTGGAGGGTGTCCCAGAATCTCCAAAATCTGTGGTGCTGATAACAGGTGCATCAGATACAATCATGTCTCACTGAACAGCACAGTGAAGGCATACCTATGGGAAATGGGATCTCCATTTTTGCCTTGTAAAACTCGGAGTGGTCTCCTAGTTGCAAAAGCTCATTCCTTGAGGATGTGGTTGAAGGATTCTCCATTTTGCCTGGACCTCGAGTTGAAAAACAACTCAACCCTCCCAGAGACAAACTCTATGCAGCTAATTGAAGGATGTTATATTAGAAAGGGCCTTGTTCCTGCTTTTAAGGAGACATAAAGGAGAGGCTTGGCCCAGTGAGACCTAAGATGTTTTCACGGCTGGTTTTGCTGCCAGACGAGAAAAGAGATAGGGTAATCCGAGCTGATATAGAAGGGAGGAAGAAAAAGTTGATCAAATTTGGAAAAGCTAGGGCTGTTGGGAGGAAGAGTGTGCAATTCAAGAAAAGGAAGTTTGTAAGGAGTTCTAAGCCATCAAACTCGGGAATGTGAGATCAAATAGGGCTGGCTTGCAGTTTTGACTGCCAAAGAAAGTCAAGCCTGTTTCCAAGTAAATTTCAGCGCGAATGTTGTCCTGAAATTTGTTTTCTTTGCATGTTGTCCTGATGGGAAAAAATCTTTACTACTATAAAGACAGGAGTTTCCAAATGACGAATCAAATTGAAGATGACAATTCAATTTCATCCTGTTTACTAATTTTGGAATTCTGTAGTTAATTTTGGTGGCAGAAAAGTAATTTCAGCGGTCTTAGTGTCTTCCAGAACTCCCCAATTCTCCAACTGTCTCCATCCCTTCTCTCTCTTTGTCGCTCTCATTCTCTATGAACCGCCCCTGCCGTCCATCCCAATCTCTTTCGGCTTTCTCGTCTTCTGTCTATACAGAAAATTCAAATTCAGCAATGGCAGTTGGTGATAAGGGATAATTGTGACTTGTGAGGTAGGTCTTTGGCTTTTCTGCCCGCAATTTGTCCCTGGATGGCCAAGAGAACCCCGACTAGAGAGCTGGGACTTGGAGGATGTGAATTTAGTTTTGCATAGCCCATTTGTCCTTGCCATCTGTGTCATCCTCACCGGCTTCCTTTCTGTGCAAGATTTTCATAGAATACACTTGAGGGTAATTAGTTTGGCACCATTTTTCTGAATATTTTGATACTTGGTAGTTAAATTTGCCATATCCTGAGCGAATATTTCCGGCTTCTCGCTCGTTGCCAAGATTTGAGGTTTTTTCTTGTGAAATTGTTGTCTATTTAGTACTTTGGGATGGTTTAAATGGTAATTATGTTCTCTTGGTTCATAAATAATTGTCCTTCCTAATTTACTCTACTTCCTTTGAATTTTGCTTGTGTACTAGTTGATTCAATAGTTGTGAAGTGAATGTAGCAAGATGGTCGTATGCCCAGCTTATTTATGGGAACACCATCAGCGGTGATGACTTTGACAAATTCAAGAAGGTACAGGTATTCCAATCATGTGGTCTTTTCTGGCCCTCTTCCATATCACTTGATATTATGAAACTCTGGATGGTAAATCATGATTTTCGATGTGTAAAGTTTTCTGCGATTCTCCTCTTGTCATGTATACAATTAAGCATAATGCCTCTCATTGTTTCCTACCTAATTTATGCCACTTTTGTCATAGAGTACACTACTTTGTGCTGCAGTGGATTTGGCAAATTGTCAAGTTTGAAGAAAACTAATAGTAGTGAAGCAAAATGATTAAGTTGAAAATACTCGATAAATGAACAAATGAGAATATTTACCTTATACTTCTAAAATGATTGTGCCACTTCATTGCCTGAAGTTTTGAATTTTGATTGGTACTTTTGGTTGCTTTTATGATTGTTTGTTCTACTTCACTGCCTGAAGTTTTCAATTTGATTTTTTCTTGGGGTTGCTTTTGTGATTGTTCATTCTTTGTATAGAGATTACTTTTTATTAATTTGAGTTGTTTATCAATTTTTAGTGAGAGCCTTCTGTAATGTTGGAACATTTGAATGAAGAACAGCTGAACCTTGAAGTTGATTGGTGAGTTTGTCTTTGTTTTGCTGTGTTCTGCTTTTTATGACTGTTTATGCGTAGTATAGAAATATCTTTTTTCCCATCTGTGTATTATTTGTTCACCATTACCAGCTCAAATTTCATATCAGTTTTTCATTGAAATCACTATTAAACAGTGCAGTTGTCGCTCATTAATTAGTTCTTGAAGGAGAAAATCTCCCTTTTGAATTTGTCATGGGTTACTGAATTCCCCAGTGCCTATTCTTTCATCTGGTTATGAGCACGATTTGGCTTTTTATATGATCACAGGTTGTTCCTCAACTCCATTTATGAATAGTATCACTCTACATTTTCTTCTGGTCTTGTGATGAATTTTGGCAAAAAGTAGTAAAGAAATGAGAACTTGAAGAATTAGTTCCTGGAGTCTTTATGACTCTAATCCATCTTAATCTGTCAATGGATTCCGTTGTCTTTTCTACATCACATCCTATTATAATAGTCTGCTATTCAACATGAGTGTATAAAGAGCTAACAGCCCTTGCCACATTGGATTTTCGTTGTCGAGTCACGTGTCTTCGCTCGATGCATGGGCGTTGTAGCCAAAATCTAAGGCCTCTTCTAGTTTGCCTCGTTTCCATCAAGATAGTAGCCTCGACATTTCCAGCTCTTCCCCCTCGTTTGCTTCTCCTCCAGAATTCGGTTCCTGATCTGCTTTCAGGCCATTTTTGCTACGATTTAGGGACCATTTGCTTACGTTAGATCAAGTTTTCGCGTCTGTAATTCACGAGTACATTTCTTCCAGGCACTAATTTGAATGACAGCAACATTTCATAGCAGCTAATCTCAAAGTTTAGGATGCTTCTCCATGCTTGTGATTCTTACTTCCTTTTTCATTTTTTTTATAGGGGATTTTCGGGGACGCTGGCTTGCTATGGTCGGACTATCATTGTTGTTGGTAGGGAGATTTCTGCTATAATCTTTTGTGGCTGTTGTTCTATTCTCTATTTGTTTTGGATCTGATTTGGATCCTTGGTTGCCCTGATTTGGTACTTTGAGGGGTATTTGGGGGTCATCAATGTTGCTTTTGTGCTGCTATGACATTTTTCTCTTTTTTTTTTTCATAACAGTAAGAATGTTCCTCTGCCCATTGGTACGTTGTTCTGTTCTCTTTTTGTTTTCCTCTGAATATCTAACTTGTTTGGAGCTTGTGTTTGCTTTGGTCTTGTAGTGGGTGGGGTTTTCTATTATTATTATATTTTTTTAATGAAGTCCATTTCTTATTTTTTTCAGAAGTTTTCTTTTGACCTTTTTACCATTTTTTTCTTGGCATTGATCAGGTCACAAGATTTTTATCTTTTTACCTTGGCTGATATGAACTGAAGCCTTGATTGTACTGTTTTTCTACCTTTGTTTTGGGTCAGACGGGATAAAGTATCTTGTTTCTGCCACTAATGTACAGTTTTCTTGTTTAGTTATTTGGATTTTCATGTGCTTGGTTTCTTTTTTTTTTTTTTCGCTGCTCACTTTGGCTCTTACTGTTTTGCGTTTTGCATGTGTTAGAAAGTAATTTCTTGTATGTGATGTAATTTTTACAGTTTGTGCTCACCAAATTGACAGACTTCGTGGATGTATTAGATATGGTTCTAAAAGCTTTCTAAAGTGTAACTCTTTAATAAACTTAAAAATGTTTTAGTCTTGAGGTATACTGAGGAATGGAATACATTATTGTGATTAAGAAGGTGCTTACCTTTAATATGAATTTTTTGATAATTTTGGGAGGTGAATATTATTTGTGGAATTTAGGCCATATGCTTGGGTAAAATGTGTAACTGGAGAATCAATGTTTCTAAACCAACTCATTGAAGGAAGAGTAAGGCGAAGAAAGGAAAAAAAAAAAGAATTAGACAGCACCATGCGTCTATGCTGGCGCAGATCTAAGCTTTATTTTCATTTTCTTGGTGCTTATTCAGAACGTCAGTTATATTTTTTGTTTCTTTTATTTTTTAAGCTCAAATAAGCTTATTGACCTTCTTGGAGTTTGATATTCTGCATTTAATCTGGCCAAATTCTGACCTTTTTTCTGGGTCAATGATTTTAGAGTTGGAAAGCCTTATCAAGAGTAATGATTAACTGAGGACTCAAAAACCATTTACATAGCTGGCCATATTAAATCTCCTTCACGTTCCTTTTTTTTTCTTTCTAATTTTTTAAATGATCTGAACTATCTTTCCTTCGAAATAGTCGGTTTTGAAGCTTCAAATCCTATTAATATTCAAAGCTCTATCTTGACGTAGCCAACAACATGTTTTACCATCAGCAGCATGGCTCTTTTTGTTCCCCTTTTTTGGAGTGGTCTCTTCAGTTTTCTTTTTGGTTGTTTTCTTTATGTTATCTGTAGCAATTCTTTCCAGAATCTTTTATCCAATGTTCAAATTAAAGCTTTTTCAGTTTTTCTTCTTTTTTTTTCAATTTTTTAAGTTGTAATTATACAGATTTCCTTTTATTTTCACCAAGATTCTGTATGATGAATTTCATTTTCCGCCAGATGATATTCCAAAGCAAAGCTTGAGCGCCTACTTTTATGAAGAATTTTAATGACCAATTTCTTTTTATTGGATAGAGCAGTTGAAGAATTTTAGTTCCCAGTTAAGAAAGAAGAAGATCTTGCATTTTGAATTTCTGTAGAGTGGTTGGAAAATTTTAGATCTCAATTAAGAAAGGAGAGGATCTCGTAGTTTGAATTTCGAAAAAAGATGAAAATATCTTTTGAGTTCTCATGTTTCAATGTAAATCTTGTCATTGAAGGATGGCTAAGAAAGTTTTCTGAAGCTCTGATGAGGCAGCTTTTGTCTGACTTGTATTCAAGAGAGAAAAAATTATGAGCATTAACTACTGAAACAGTTAGAAACAACCCACATATTGATCCATCTAAAGTTTCTACTCGGCTATTAAGAAAAGAAGAGGGAAATTTGCATTGATTTTAGGTCTGAAGATGATTAAAAATGATGGGTAAAGATTGTCTTTAGGAGCTATATGCGAATATACTTCTTTCATGTGTACTTGAGTTCATTTGTATATACAACAGAGAAATCTTCCAATGTAATCCTCATTACTTTGTATAGGCACTTTACGTGTTCAAGTATTTTGCTTTTCGTTGTGTGAAAACGATTTGTTGATGTTACTGGCTTATGTCATTACATGTTCTCTTTTAATTTTTTTAATAGATTTGACAGAAAGAAGGTACTATATGAACTAAATTTGAATTATATTTGAGTCCAGTGCCACTATCCACACAAATGCAGACTTTGTGTTTAAAAATGTACATGCAACTAACTGCCTGCCGATATATGCTGGTTGATACTGTTCGGATTCAAGTAAGAAAGTATTTGGCGATATTTTTCATGTAATCCAGTCTGATCTGATATAGTTACATATGCATTAAGCTGATGTTTTATGGCTGCATAACATTCTCACTGCACAACTTCCTGGTTGCCTCTTGTTTTTAATGTTCTTACCAATTCTTGAAAGTTGTGTTGCTTTTCCTTCTGTTGTACATGTAAAGTGTTATAGAGTTGTTGTAGTATTTTGAGTAATTGCAGCCATTAGATCTCAAATTGTGGGTCTTTTTGTTTACACAATTTCAGCAACCGGGTTCAAGATTTTTCAGAGGAGCCACAACTAGAATGAGAACTAATGCTTGTAAAACCAATGCTTGTGAAAGTTTCTGTAACACTCAAGTAAATGTATTTCTTATAGAAGCCTACTATCTTGAGATCTGAAAATTTTGTGAGCGGGTCCCTGCAGTTCTTTGTATGATTTCGCTTGAGTTTTGTTGTCAGATTGGTGGACATTTTTAGATAAAAATCATGGATGCAAGTCACTTATTGACTACTGAGGTTGTACTGAAGCACTTTTCCTGTTGCATTTGGATTACAACTTCCACTTTACATGTCTGCAAGTTTAATCTACTATACTTGCAATGACTTCATAAAGTGATGAAATTATAGATTGATGTCAGCTACATTTGGTAATTCTATGCTAGATCAATGGCACTTTCCTTTTGTGATGCTGGAAGTTGTGAGAGCATACGCCTTGCGTACAAGTAGCTGACAGATTAGCACTCGTTTCAAAGCTGATCGCTATTTGCGCATCCTTTGTTCGGCGGAAGTTCCCGAGTACGCAAATAGAAGACTCCATGAAACAAGGACTCATTCATTTATTCCGCAGTCTAGAACTTCTTTGCTGTTATTAGCTTCACCAGGAAAGGTATGGGAAATTGTATCCCTGGCATTTTAGCTTGAGAATTTAGCTTTAGTCAGATTCTGCAAACTATAAATCTTACTGGTTGAGGATTTTAAGATTTCCTGGTCTGTCTTTTGGAACCTTTATTTTTTCTGAATTTGAGGGCTAAGCTTCTGCAACTGCAATGATATGTTGGTTGATTTTCGTTTCAATCATCAGTGTTTTTTGGACTTTTATTATGTTTTCCATGCGGTAAATATCGTACTTTATATTATGGTGTTTGTGATATTCTCTCTCTAACAATTGAAATATGGTATTGAAATACAACATTTGTAAATGGCATTTTATATCTTGATGTATTCTTGTGTTAATTTGCCTTTCGATTGATCACTGGCTTCACAATGGTTCTTGATGTATTCTTGCTCTACTGGGACTGTTCTATAAGCATTGTTGCAATATTCTCTCTCTCACTTGATGTTCATATGTCCTGGCAAAAATTAAACTGGAAATCAAAGATATATGGGACTCTATATTAATATACAATAAAAATGGCTTTTTTCTTTTCTGTTTTATAAGGTTAAAATTTGCATAAAACTCAAATTAGAGCATGGCTTTATCTAAACCTGAAGAAGCCCTTCTTAAAAAAAAAAAAAACAAAATAAGAGATCTAAAAATATGCATATTATACAAAAGAGATTTAAAAAATTCAAAATTCACTTGAAAGCCATTCCTGATTATAAGCAAACCAAACAAGTAGTTTTATAATAATACCCATTCCATTACTAAACCAAACATGTTGGGGGAATCGTCAAAATCCATACTCATGCTACTGTTAATGATATTCATAGTGATAATGACTGAGGAATCTGAACCAAACGGCTTCTAAGGAACTATACCACCCATGGTGACTACTGATTTTTATATTTGTTAGCTGAAATTTGTATCTGGCTCTCCATGGTTTTCCCGCCTTCAGCGTGCTTGAGTTCCCATATGAATTAGGAAGATTTGGAATGCGGTTTACTTTCTGCACTGGAAGCCCATGAATCATCTTACTATAAATGCTTTCACTATTTTGACAGCATGGAAAGATAGCAAAATCGATCCCCTGACGATGTTTATACAAGTTTTGAGTTTCGGTAGGAAATTGATGGATCTCTTAACCAGACCATAATGCAACTGAGCCTTGAGATAGCAAGTGTAGATGTCAACTTGGACTAAATCCTCTAATATTCTAGTAATTGTTAACTGACTTTTGTTGTTAAGGCATTATTTAATGAGGACAACATTTTCTATTTTTTACACGATTATATAATCACATGAACGTAGGGGTGTGCAAAATCGAAAAATTCCGATTTTCCGACCGAATTCGAATTCGATAATTCGGAATGAAAATCGGAATTTCGATTTCAAATTGGTCGAATTCGGTAACGAGATTTTTCAAATCGGAAATTCCGATTTCGAATTCACAATTCGAAATCGAAATCGAAATCAGAATTCGGAATTTCTATTTCGATTTCAAATATGTTATATATATATATATATATATTATAATTCATGAATTCGGTGAAATCGAAATTCCTATTTCGATTTCGATTTCAATTTCGTTTTCGTTTTCACACACATATATATAATATTTTATATATATGTAATATAATATTTATATAATAATAATAATAATAATAATTTTTATATTCATGAATTCGGAATTTACTGAATTCGAATTCGAATTCGAAATGAATTCGAATTCGAAATTGGTGAATTCAAAATCGAAATCGGTCGAAAATACTAATACCAAAATTTCAAAAAATTCTAATTTCAAAGTTCCTAATTACCGATTTTAATTTCAATTCACACCCCTACATGAATGTTTGACTTTTACTGAAATATCAGATGAAGTCTTGATTCTTTCTGAATGTTGCAATCTGAGAGGTTGCAGCCATCCTCAGCCTACTTACTAGTAATATCAACCTTCTCTGGTCTGTGGGTGCCCTCTTCATATTAGAATTTACTCTGATTTTGGTTCAATATATATAGATATATATATATATATATTGGGATTTTTCTATAACTAAATTTCATCAGAAGCAAGCAAATTCCATTAATGGATCCATTTTGGATTAGTACAAATAATTTCACTGAATTGGGCATCTGCATCTTTTTTCCCATCACGCATCACGCAGTTTATGCCTCGTAGTGTCATTGAATTCATTAAACTCAAAAGGATGCACTCCCAGGGGATACATTCAGTGGTCTTGTCTCATTTTGATCACACAAACAATGTTAGTTTGTTAAATCAAACTTCTAAAAATCTGCTGTGCGGAAAGTCAGATCCAACCACACTAAAGATATGAAGATTCTCTGTGACATCTAACAAGTAAATTTTCCAACCCATTGCAAGGAATAGGCAAATCAAATAGTTGGCGTGTAGCATGGTGCTTGCAAAGTTAATCGAAAGATTTACAAATATGATATAACATACTTTTGAACAAACCTCTATTTGTCTTTCAGGCACACACAACCTTTCAGCTATTGGCAATATTTATGGGTGAACCAGTATACTCGGCAAACCAACTTGGCTTGCTAAATAGACCATTAAAAAACAAACAAGCAAAGGGCAACGAGTCGCAACAATGCACCCGAATGAAGATTTATTTCCTTTCCCAGACTGCTTTACAACTTCTATAGTTGCCATGATTAGCACATACCATAGTTGCTAATCCTTTTCACAATAATACATATTGTAAACATACCTACTTTGTGTCTCGTTGAAACATGAATACAACAATTAACAAGAAGGTTCTCACAGCTTATTGTTTACAGCTTCCTTCATCTGAAAACTCATTTGCTGAAACACGTATCACCATGGACATTAAAATCCTTAATGTATAGTCCTAAAACTCCAAAAGAAAACCAAACCAAACCTGGGCAATCTCGCGCACATCATGAGGCCTCTAATTAACTAGTTACCTGGTATAGTTTGGGTCTTACCAGGTTTCCCTTGTTGGTTTTTTATTTTTTCAATCAATGCCAAACTGAAGAATCTCAGCATTGCCAAAAATTACCCACTACCATCCTTAGGCCAATGAAACCCCAAAGCACATCCTTAACACTCAACTTACATGTCCAAAAGTCCGCGCTCATAGGTTCTAACTCAAAAGAGTAAAACTAAGGAAGAATTCTACTTGGACCCCTCCCTATGAGATCCTTTCACTCTTCTATGCTTGATTTAAGACAATTGGGTTACCTCTATCTAACTCATAAACCAAAATATAAGGACGAAAAACTCTTAAACTTAAGTTTATACTATCATATATGATCACAGAACTACCTGCATCCGAAGACTTGTAGCAATCATCGATGAAAAGGCTAGTGGGTCAAATCCTGCATTGATCGCCCAAAACGAAGGTCAAAGAGGCTGTCATTTGAGCGTTTCAGTAGTGCGAACCTAAAGACTTTGCTACTGAAGCTCTTGTCCGGCACAAGTTGATTACAAGGACATGTCAGGTACAGAAGTCAACTTCATATTACTCAATAATGAATAACCTTGTTCAACTCCCTACATTTTTTTTTTTTTTCTCATTTTTCTTATGTAGATACATGCCATGTGTGTAAAACTTATAACACATAATAATATATGCTCTCTCTCTCTCTCTCTCTCTCTCTCTCTCTCTCTCTCTCTCTCTCTTAATTCTTTAGCAGGAGACAAAACGTGCCTGTACTTAATTTACACCTAAATCTACGGTTTTGAAAATTAACTGGTACATCCTGACATTATCTTCCTTTACACTTTGCCATGCCATCAGCCTAAGACTTACCAACAAGCTAGGCAGTAGTAGTTTAAGTCAAGAGAAAAAATTTTCCTCAACATGAGTCCAGATTCACTAACAATTATTTTACACAGCATGGCTTTCAGCTGTTTGAAATGGCATACATACAATTCCATACAAATCGTAAGGAGGAAGGGGGAGAGTGCCCACTTTTTATCCGGTTTGAACAACTGGTTTCATAAATAAAACTGAGACTACAGAAGGATGGGGTCTTTTGGGGTTTTTTTTTTTTGGTGGGGGGGGGGGGGTGGGGTGCAGGGGAATAGCTAGCTTGACATCACTATATATGGTAATACAAAACTCTCAAAGTTTAAATGAGCAACAAGTGACGAAAGCTTGCCTGCTCATCAGAAGATTTTGTTAAGGTGTATATGTACCCACACTTGAGACATACATGAGTTGCTCAAGCCTGAAAGATTAGAATATCAGTCACGTGGTTACAGGGAATGAAATTTACAGAAGCATAACAATTAACATACTTATTAAGTCATATATTCAGCCTTGCCTTTGGAGCATCAGTTAACTTCCGTCCAAATTGAGGCGGTGCTGGGCGCTTCTGCAGTAATTTGACATCCACACCAGCTCCTCTGTATCCTGATAAAGATTGATCCAAAGACGTTTAGACAAAATGAAAAACAGAAAAGGCCATCGCCTTATCTGCCACTCCCATAAGAATATTTTCCTGAATTTGTACATTCTTTGCTGCCAACTGAGATGATCAGACATCTCACAAATTACAGCTACTGAAGATGAAGCTATGTCCACACTTTGAGAACCTACTATTGATGGAGAGGTGCTACCATCAAGCAACGGACTTCTCAACTATTGGACGATAGTCAAGGATCTGGTCCAGATATCAGTGCAGTCCTCGCTTCTTGATTTGAAGAAAGACATCATTAAACCTTTTAGATATTTAAACAGCAACTTACCAAAAAAAATGATATTTAAACAGCGCATCCTTTCATCAGCAATTAACTCTGTCTTCTTGCATTTACTGACTGAGCAATTCTACTGTTGCTCCTATGTTCAATTGCATACTTCTGTTGCACTAACTTCTAGCTTCACTTTTTTTTTAAAGGACACAAGACCAAATATTTACCTGGTAAAGATGAGGAATTAGGAAGGCACTTTCCCCTATTTTTGCATTTCTTACATGATAGAGGATAAAAGTGGAACATCTACCAATGAGACAGGAAAATGAAAGGCGTTCATATAAAAAGATTCAGGACATTCAGAAAAACAGATTGATAATAAATTCAGGACATTCTACTGAAACATTATGGTCTGCCATCAGCTAAATTCAGGACATTCTACTGAAACATTATGGTCTGCCGTCAGCTTCAAACAGAAAGTGAGGCCAGTCCAAACACCAATTTATGCTATACAAACTTAAACAATGCCATAACAATTCTTCAAAAGAATCTGTACCACTACCAAAGCTATGGCCCAAAATATCTTGTAAATTTCAAAGTCAGAATGGGTTAAATTCCAAATACAAATTTTGCATGTAAAATTAATAAGCAAAACAAAAGAAGAGCTTGCTTGCTGACAACAAAGTAGACGGAATCTGACTTTGCCTGAATAGCGGTTTCGGTAAATCCAAGCTTATCAGCAGGCCAAAGTTCATCCCTAAAGAAGCTGCTTGTGTGGAGGACCTGGTCGCCAACCTTGAGCCCTGCTTTTGCAGCATACCCACCACCTTCTACTCCTGGATAGCAACCAACTTGAAATTAATAGTAGACACAATTGCATCAGAAGAAAATTATATAGGCCAGCTTTTGACAAGAACGTAAGAGGGGAGGGGGAGGAGGACTGACCGTGATGACCACACCACCACCCAGCTTTTGACCCAAAGCTAGGTCCAGTGGTTTGTCTACTTCAACCTCAATGCTCTTTGAAGCCCCAGCAGTTTTGCTGTAATCTCAAGACCTGTTCTCACTTCTCTGCTAGTACTAGTAGTAGTGATCTCAGCCATCAAAGAAGCGAGATGCTCCATTTGACCTCTTGAAGTGAGCACCCTTGGAAGCTAAATTTCTGCCAGCACCAACACCAGTACTATCAAAAGAGAGATACATACATACATACATACATATATATACTGAATCAGCAAAGGAGAGATACATGCAAATATTATATATGCACAGAGGGACCAAATTATAAACGGATTTCTTTGTGCGACAAAGAAGTTAAGCACAATTATGCCATGCTTTTAACTATATATACCTCAGAGTGGGAAGTTAATCGCTTTGCATTTGCAGATGGAATTGAGGAGTTGGATTTGAGGGAGAGGTTTCTCACATAAGCAGCTGAGCAAGAAGATGAAGCACCTGCTACAACAGAGGATGACATATTGGAGTGCTGCTGGGCTTTGCACTATGGGCAGCAGCCACCGATAGGACTTAGGACTTGGAACTTAGAAGAAGGGCTGGGCTGATTAGTGATAATAGCTTGCCATGTGCAGAAGATATCATGGTGTATTACTTAAAAACTCCAAATGCCTTTGTTGGAGAACCATTTCAGCAGCTTGCAGCATCTCTCTGGCCTTTCTATCTGGTGTACATCCAGCATACTCCATTTCTTTATATATACTAGGAACCTGTAAGGCAACCAAGAAAGGATAGGTTAGACCTTAGCCTGCAGTGGCAAGCTGGTAAGATGGAACAGACTATTACAGCAACTTCAGTAGCCCTAATAACTATTAAAGCAACTTGATTGTCGGCCATATTTCTGGTTAATTTTTGGTTTTCATTGATCAGTAGAAGGTACATTTTATGCAAGTTTCAGATAGGATAAAAAGAGATCTCTATGGAGAAGAATAGACCAATGGTGATGAGTACCATGAGGTCATTAACTGCAAACTTCAAGACGAGAAAACTACCTGATCAAACTTTTTAGCCCTTATAAAAGCCTTCATAAGTGTGCTGTAGGTAACTACATCAGGACAAAAACCCTACAGGATTACCAAATTATTAGCTAAAGATTTCCCAAATTAGATTACTTGAAAAAGTCAAGGGTCTTACCGTCTCTCTTATGTGGTTAAAAACTGATAGTGCCTCCAAATGCCTCCCTGCAGTGCTAAATGCGTTGAGCAGCACATTTAGCATTAAAAGGTTAAGTTCTATTCCTTCTGCTTCCATAAGCTGCAGAACCTTAATGGTCTGTTCGCATAATCCCTGCATAAGACATCAAAGCAAAAGCATTTCCTTCATAATGGCAATCACACTACCTAGACACTAGGCTATATCGGTGCATATCCCTACCTGTTGCGCATAAGCATTTGCTATGATGCAAAAAGTACTTGCTGAAAGTTTAACCCCTTCTGATCTTAGGGCGTTTATGCAATTGTCTGCATCCTGAAATCTCCCATATTGCCCATAAATATCAGCCAGAACAGCGTAGATGGCCCCACTTCTGTGGTGCCCTCTATGCTTGATATTCTCAGAAGTTTTCTTTATAACATCCCATTTCCCCTGTTCTCCCAAACGGGAAATAATGGTAATGAAAATCTTTGGATCAGGATACAGGCCTTGTTCTTGCATGCTTATGAACATATCCAGAGCATTAGACACATCCCCAAACTTGCAGTGCCACCGAATCAAAGAGTTCCAGGTGGTGATGTCCGGCATTATACCCTCCAGCTGCATTGTCTTAAAAACTTCTACTGCTTCACCTAACTCACCATATTTACAAAACGTGTCAATTATGCTGTTATAGATTTTCCTGTCTAGGGACAAACCCATACCCCGTATCTCTCCAACAATGCTTGTCGCTTTTCTCCACATGCCATTGTCCCTGTAAAGTTCAATAACTTTACTGTACACAAAAGAATTTGGATGATATCCCTCTCTCCTCATTTCAGCAATGACTAACCACGTATCCTCCAGACGTTTTGCCCGTGCATGGTACTCGAGAAGAATTTCATAGGTTTCCCTGTTTCTTTGTATTCCCAAGTCATCCAATGTAAGTAGAACCTTATCAGCGAGCCCAGACAGGCCTTTTCTCAAGAAACATCTAAGTAAGACATTAAAAGCTTTGACTCTGGGCCTGTATCCAAGACTCGTCATTTCCTGGAAGATAGCATCAGCTTCCAAGGTCCTGCCAACATTTCCGAGAGCTGTTATCAAGAGGGTGTAAGATTTCAAATTGGGACGAGAGCCCAAAGCCTCCATCTGTGAGAGCAAGGACATCGCCTCATTTACTTCTCCTGACATGCACATTTCGCAAATGGATTCATTGAAGGAAATATAAGAAAGTTCCTCCCCATCCTCCCTACCAAACGGCTGCACAAAAGTCGAGCAGTTATTGGCATCATTAGAGCACTTGGGCGGGTTGAGACAAAGTTTGCAAGTCCCAGAGCGACTAAATGGAACATTTACCACACTACTACGTGGTATCCAATTGTCACGGGAATTTTGACAAACAGCGAATAGGCATGAACGGCAACTAATAAAGCAGCCAGGCGGGAGTTACAAGGCATCAAGCGTTGCATCTCCATCATCTGATCATCCATTCGTCTTGGTTGGTTGGGAATGTTGTGGACGATAACACTCCTCACACAGTCCACCTTCATCACTCAAATAAGGCACCGTTTGGATTGAAGGAAAGGAAGGGGATAAAATGGCGAAAAGACACCAGCTTTACTGTGTTATTGCGCGGCTCTCTTATTGGGTTAATTATAGTTTGGTCCTCCCAATTGGTCCAAAATCTCTAATTGCACCATCAAAATGAACAAGTCTCAATTTGATATATATATATAAGTCTCAGTTTGATAATTTGAATTAGTAAATATCTCAATCGGATCCTACAATCTAAGAAAGCGACATTTTTGTTATCTAAAGGATCACTTGCTTGTGTGACTGCAAAAAAGCACAGAATGATGATTCTTTGGCAGTTACCAATTATCTGTAATTACTTTGGTAATTATTACTTCATCAATATATACAAGGATGACAATTGATCAAAAAGAGGGGAAGGAATTACATAAAGTCTCAATTTGATCCTCTAAAATAATAAATGGTTTCAACTTTGTTGTTCAAACCCAATAACTATAGAACAAATCAAACTATAAGAACAAAATTTATAAACGATTATTTTATCATTCTACTAATATATGTCTCTGTTATTGATTTCAATCAGACAAGTACATTCTTTTTTTTTTTTTTGAGATAAATAGTGCACTTTTTTTTGATGAACCCTGTAAATAGCTTTATATAAAAATCAAAGGATAGCCAGCAAAAGATTGTACTTTTATCAGCAAGAAATTATGGCACGGGGGTATGCAATAAGCATAATGGCTTCGTCTAGTTTCTTCTTTTTTTTTTTTTAGTTGAAATCTTTGTATGATGAGCTTATTGGTAATGTTTTCAAGAAAGTAGCCTTGAAAGGTCAAGTTATAAAAATTTTCTTAATTTGGGAGGGGTAAATTGAGAAAATTTTAATTTATAGGACCAAATTGAGAAATTTTGTGACTTGGGAATAGCAAAATTGGCCTGGTCTGGAAAGCAATTTCTCCAAAACATTTTTACATTTGTCGTTAATATATTTTTCAATCACTTTTTTATTTCATGTACATTAAATTGAGATTCAGATATTTTACCTCTAGACCATGGTAAAAATATATTTTCTAGAAAAATCTATTGTAGAGTAGGTATTCCATTTAGATTGACTGACAATTCATCATAATTTGACGTCATTGTCGAGAATTGCTGCCTAATTTGATTTATTTCTTTCTTTTTGAATTTTTGGCTGGCTTATGCCTTATTCTTCTCATATATGTGAACTGGTATATATTCTTGAAATTAAGAAGACTGTGCGTTGGCTTAGGAAGAAAACTAGGAAAAGAAGAGAGGAGCGTCATCTACTTTAGGATTAAACTTAGCTATTAAATTGGCTAATTCTTCTAGTGATTATTTCAATAATCAAAGATAGAAGAAACTATAGCTAATAATAGGACATTAAAGGAGTTAGCTGTCCCTGATTTGAACCAATAACCTTTGTACATTATATTTCCTATTTTAAATGAAAATACTACATTTGAGTTAAAATCTATTCTAATGTATCTTTTTACCTTCTTTTCCTAGTTTCCAAGCATGTACAAGTACTAAATGAACAGTCCAGATTATAATTAGGTTTTGCAAGGATGCAAAAGCCACAAAAAGGGTAAATATAAGACCCTATCCTAAGTCAGGAAATTGATTGGAAAAGCAATCATTTATAATTTCTAAACTCATCAATTATTATTAATTTAGGTTTAGCATTTTGGATATCTATGCTTCCTATTCAAAAATTCTTGAGTCAGTATCTGGGCCAAGGTGTTAAACCTTAAAGGTAAGATACTTACTTTATACAAGAATTTGTTTAAAACTTTGAAGGTAAGATACTTACTTTTACTAAAGAGCAAATTATCCGGTTGGCCATTAAACTTTTGCCATCGTTCAGTTTTGGTCACTCAACTATTAAAAGTTTGGTTTTGACCATTGAAATATATAAAGTTAAGATGCAAGGTCATTCTGTTATATTTGGCCGTTAAATTTACCAATATGTCTGTTTGCACGATTTTCAAGATAAAAGTTAGGGTCAATTTAGGAAGTTCAACATCTTCTCTCAAAAATTGTTCCTCTTCCTCCTCCCCTCCTCAAATCTTCGTCAGACCCTTTTCATCCACCGCAAGCATCAAGACCAAACCCAGAACCTCCCCTCAAGCAACCCAATCTCCCTGCTGCCCGTCCCCAAATTCTCCATTCGCTAAACTTCCTTCCTCCGGTCCCTCCACCAGCGGCACCTCCGCTTCAAGCTGTACATCCCTCTCCAGCCTCCATCTCTCCCTCCTGGAACACGCCTATATTTATGATTTCTCCGAAATCTGTTCTGTCGCCAACAATTTTCTCGCCAAACGCTACTCCACTTCCTCCTCCTCCTCCCAGTCCTGGTGCTGCGAGCTCAACGGAAAGGACGTCATTATTTCCAACGGAAAATCCATCAAACAATCCACGAATCTGACTCAGATCAAATTATTCTTTATTTGTAAAGCCACATAAATGCTTAATCAAGCTCCTCGGAGCTTCCATTTCAAATAATCCATTTACTTAGTTTACAAATTTATCAACGGCTCCAATCTTCTACTTGTCTCCAAAATCCAAGAAACCCTGATTTCACCTTTCTTTCAACCTGGATGTTGCGAATGCAAATCGCCATGGATTTAGCTTACGGCTTGAATTATATCCACACCGCAGCTAGATTTAGCATAAGTTTGGTCCACCAGTACGTGAAGAGCAGTGAAATTATTATCACTGAGCCTTCCTTGAATGCCCGAATTTGCCATTTCGGAGCCGCCGAGCTATGCTCCGAGACGGAGAGATATGATGGAGGTGAGATAACGAAAAAGGAATTGCCGGAGCTGCGGAGGTCGGGGAATGGGGGTGGGTAATTTGAAGGAGTGAGAGGATACTGTTGCCGGAGTTTAAGTCCACCGGCTTGGCGACGCAGAAGTTTGACATATACGCTTTTGGAGTGTGATTTTGGAGCTTTTGTCCGGGAAGGAGCCGCTGAAGTATAAATATGAATGATAAAGTGAGCGGAGATTATAGGAAGATTTCAATTATTGATTCAGCAACGAAGTCGGTGGAAACTGACGGAGAGAGTAATGAAACGGTGAAGGGAAGATTTGAGGATGAAAAGGGTCTGACGAAGATTTGATGAGGAGGAGGAGGAAGATGGACAATTTTTGAGAGAAGATTTTGAACTTCCTAAATTGACCCTAACTTTTATCTTGAAAATCGTGCAAACAGACATATTGGTAAACTTAACGGCCAAATATAACAGAATGGCCTCACGTCTTAACTTTATATATTTCAATGGTCAAAACTAGACTTTTAATAGTTGAGTGACCAAAACTGAACGATGGCAAAAGTTTAATGGCCAACCAGATAATTTGCTCTTTACTAAATAATTTGTTTAAAACCTTGTAGGTAAGTTACCTACCTACTAATAAAAATTTGATAAACACATAAACTGCCTTTGTGGAAATAAAAATATTTTGCTTATACATTTTTTTGGGGGAATTTATGCTCAATGATTGTTTTTTTTACTTAAAGTTCTTTGATTTACTTAAAGTTTGATTATTTGAAAACTTCGAATAGGTTATATTTCTATAGTTTATTAAAGGCATTGGTGATGTTGGGCTCAATATAAATGTCTTAAATGAAAAAAGGAAACATTTGAAGTATCAAAAACTAATTTACAAAATATTTGAAGAAAAGGCCATAGAAACTAGCTTCTCATAACATTTAAAATAACAAACAAAAAAAAGTATCAAAGATTAGATGTAGACTATTTTTCATTACTATATTAAATTTTAAAAGAACATATATATAGTTATGAGTTCCAGTAATATTATTAAAAAAAGATATGACACATGTGTACTCTAAAACTAGTTTGACCCAAAATATAAAGGGTAAATTCCATTTTCACCCTAAAACTATATGTGTTTTCCCACTTCAATCTCTAAATTTCAAAATGGGACACTCCAAACTACTGAATCCGTCCTAATTAAGTAAAATCATTGGCAAAATCCACAAAACCGTCAAGGTTTTCGGAGCATGTAAAACATGCGCCGTTAGCGAGGCTAAATAAGTAATGAAAACTAAAATGGTTAGGACAGAAATGTAAATTTGCCCATTAGGTATAAGGGCCAAAGAGATAAACCAAAACAACTTTGTTTATTCTTCACTTTGCATATTTCGATTTCAATAGAGAGAGAGTGAAGAAGTGAACAAACAATTGCCCAATTTCTACCATCAAATACCATGAACTAATTGTGATCATGATTTAGAGGTCAAGTATATTGTAGACATGGGAAGGAAGAGGGTTGATGGAGAAATGAAATCTCCAGTGAAGAACAAGAAGAGAAAGACCGAACCGGGTAAGAGAATGATTTTTTGAGTCATTGTTTTCTTGTTGATTATTGTAATAGTGTATTTGATAGTTGGTTTATTTGAATTGTTATTGTTGTCGGCTAGGGTTCGTAGGAGTCTTGTGGAATGAAAAAAGGGCAAGATTGAATTAGGTATTACTGACAAATTATGGTTGAGAAAATTGTATAATGTTGATTGTATGGGCCTGCAAATGATTTGGGGTGTTTTTCAAGTCAAAGTTTATGCTGTCCAAACCCCAATGCTCCATGTATTGAAGACATTGTGGTCCTTGATCTCCTATGAAAGGTGTAAAATTTTAATTATTGAATTAAAAAATGGTAATAGGGGAATCTAGTCATAACCTTTCTTGTTGAAGAAACACCATCAAGGGACATTCACAAACTCTCCTAACAAATAGTATGTAGGGGGAAGGGTTGACTTTACAGATGGATGTAACCTGAAAATGTGGTGATTGCTAGTTCTAGACAAGTGTGGAGAGAGACTTGGGTGTAATAAAGAAGCTGGTTTTGCGTG